TGGTCTCTTTGGGGTATATTCCCAGTAGTGGAATTGCTGGGTCAAATGGTATCTCTATTTGCAACTTTTTGAGAAAGCACCATACTGCCTTCCACAGTGGTTGCACCGAAGAGGCCCATTTTTAAGGAGCCCTGGTGACTCGATGACTAAGTGCTTGCTTACTAACTGAAAGGTTACTGGTTTAAACCCATGTAGTGGGGTAAAAAAATTGGTAATCTACTTGTGTAAAGATTACAACTAAGAAAATTCTATGGGGCATTTCTGTTTTATCAAATGGGCTTGCTATGTTGCCCTGGTTGGTAAGGAGTTGTGCTTGCCAACCAAAGGCACACAGTTCGAGTCCACTAGCTGCTCTGTAGGAGAAAGATGGGCAGTTTCTCCTGTGTGATTTACAGCCTCTGAAAACCAGCTAGGAGTCAGTTCTGACTTGACAGCACATAACAAGAAGTAAAATTCATCTCATTGGCATCTATCAACAATAGCTATATACTCCTGGAGCTAAATGGTAGAGATACAGGCAGTAGGTCAGGAGAGCTGGAAGACCAGCTCATGAGAAAGCCCCAGGAGGCCAATTCCATAAACATCCTCTTGGGTTCCTGGCTTGGGTGAGCAAAGCTCAGGGTCATAGTAACAAAGGTCAAGTCCCAAATATTTGAGACATGTTAATAGTTACCTTTGCTGGTGGGATTTCATGGTCAGGAAGGTACTTTCCCTGCACGTTCGGAGCAGTCAGGCTTCCTTCTCCCTCCTGACATGAATTCTGCCTGCATGAAACAGCGCTTATCCACCTGCACCACTGGATCCTTGACTCTGCTTTGCTGCACAAGGAAATCCCCGAACCTCCATTACACCTGAAATGTGAACAGCCTGCCTGCTAAAGCAACCAGCTCCTCTCCACCGGGTGCATGATGTCAAACCTGTTACTGTCAGCGCTCCCTTTCAAGCTGGATAAAGTCTCTGAATGGTCAAATGGTTAATGTGTTCCATTGCTAACCAAAAGGTTAGAGGTTCAAGTCCACCCTAGAGGTACCTCAGAAAAAAAAAATACCTGGCTCTCTGCTTTTTGAAAAACCAGCTATTGAAAAATGGTGCGACTGTGAGTTAGAGTCACCACAGTGACTACTGGTTTCACTGGTCCATGGGTAAGGGACATGGACTAGGCATCCGCTCTTTCCCATTCTCAGGAGTCAGGCTCCAGGTATTTCTCATACAGAAGGTGCATATTGTTTGTACTAGAAGCAGAGGTGGAACCAAATTCTGTCTGACAGAAAATACAGAAGTGACTTTTGGTGACTTCAGGTGAGGTCCAAGGCTTTGGAGTAAGACAATAGGATTGAATTCCTTAGTCATCTTTGTGTAGACAGCTACTAGCAGGGAAGCCAGACAGACTTTCTGTGACAGTGAGTCAAGCCCTGTCCTGGACTTACCCTGTACTGACCACACCATCTGCCTCCCAGCCAAGACCGAGGATCGGAGTGGCGATTGGTGACCAGATCTTGGACCTCAGTGTCATTAAGCACCTCTTCACCGGGCCTGTCCTCTCCAAGCACCAGGATGTCTTTGAGCAGGTAGGACATTGTCACATGACTGGTTCTTTACTTGTAGATACCTTCCACAGAATGCTGCTTGCCTTCCATTGCTAGAGGGCATTTCTGATAGAGTGCATTCCATTTCAGCAGTTTTAACTGGAGAAAAAGGAGGTAGTTCTGGGACAGATAGGCTGGTGGGATGGCCTTGGAGTAAGTTCATAGAAGCTTTATGGGTATTGGGTTCTTAGAACAAATGGAACACCCTAAAATCAATTTCTATTTTGCTATTTTGAAACGTTCTTCTAGGTCGTATAGCCCTAGTCTGTCCACTTGCCGTACAGTGGTAACTCGTGGTTGCTGTGAAGCTGAACACTTTACACTGATGTGTCAAATGTGATAATGGTTACCCATGGTGGACACTGTTTGGTGGAGCTCCCCGATTAGAACAAGCTTGGAAGCAGGAGTGGCATCCACTTCTGAAATAGCTTGCCTCTGGAAACCCTATGAACCTGGAGAAAGGATAAAAGTTATACAAGTGTCCAGGTCTTTTGTTCATAGGGTAGCTATGAGTCACCTACAACTTGAAGGTGTTTAACAACAGCAACACCGTTTTGCTGTAGGAAACATTCCCAGTTGCAGAGACGAAGGACTTTAGCAAATGTGGCTTACTTCCTCATAAAGCTGTTTAAAGCCTCTACCTGTGTAAGGCTGGTGTGGGGTCCTTTTAGGGAGGGAGCCATGAACCTTACCCTCTAAGTCTGCAGGTATAGGCTGGCAGGAGGGACAGATGACCCAGGGCCCTTTGCACGGCCACCATTTAGGTTTAGCCTGAAGTGCATAGTTTTGTGGGATGGACATGTATCTACTTTCTGCAAAACATCAGGTATTTTGATATTAATCTTCCTGTTTCATAGCTGAGGGGAGAATAATATTTACTGAGCAACTGCTAATGTGCCGGGAGCTTCACACACATCTCTCATTCAGTCCTCACGGATGGTAACCTCCATGAGGACTGACTATCAGATATGAAGCACAATTTTAATCCAAGATCACTCGACTAGCAGCAGGGTGGGGGCAGGGCTGCAATTGCAGTCTTGGTGTTTAGAACCCACAAATGCTGCACTGCCCTTTCCTACCTCAGTGACTAAGAAACCTCATTTTATAAAAGTGCATATACTTTGCATATATTGTGGTAAAATGCATAGGACAGAAAACTTGCCATCTTAACCATTTTTATGCTCTAGTTCAGTTACATTAATTCCATTCACCAGGTTGCCGTACGGTCACCACCATTGATTTAGAAAACTTTTTCATCATCTCAAACAGAAATTCAGGATCTGTTAAGTAATAAAACCCGAAACTCAAACTCATTGCCATCAAGTTGGAGCTGACTCACAGCTGACCCTCTCCTCTAGCAAGTTTCTAAGGCTGTAAATCGCACACGGGGAGACAGCCCATGTTTTTTTCACAAAGCCGCTGGTGGACACAGCCTTTAAGTTACCAGCACAGCCCCCTACAGACTATGCCACCAGGCTTGCTTCTCCATTTCCCTCAAGAAACTTCTCTGTCATTTGCATGAAGCAGACCAACTTAGGCTGGGTGCTCCTGCACAGACCAGAGCACACGCCTCCTTCAACTGTCAGTCAGGCCAAGCTCCATAGGTGGCATGGATTGCATTGTATTCCACCAAAATATATTGGAAAAAAATGTTATGTGTTGAAATCCTGTGGTTGTGACCCTATCTGGAAATATGACTTCCTTTTTTTTTTTTTT